TTAAGCCATTTTCAAGAAGCCTTATCATCGCTACGGGAAACGAAAGGAGATTTTATTTTTTTTTTAACATTGCTGCATTAGTTAAGATGAAAGTACAAACCCTTAAACCCCCTAATATTGCCAAATGTTTTGTTAAACATGCATTTTTTGATTTCTGTTAAGCAGACTCCAACTTGACTTCCGGTTATGGTATGAAATCGTTCGACCGTTAAATTACCGATATTTACCAAATTGAAGATATCCATAATTTTAAGATACAAAATTCTTTATTTTACATAATTATTTTTCCCTAAAGTAGGGTGTTGCGTTTCTTTTGCGTTTCAGTATATAAGTAGTATTTTAGAGTTTAGTCCACAATCGTAAAGAATTTTCACAGATAAGTCATTAACAGAAAAGTTGATGAAACAAGGATACCAAAGGTATTGTGAAATGGCATTTTGCAAATTCCGTGGTCCAAACAATGATCTTGTCAGCAAGCGCAATTTATCTTGAAGTCAAATATATAATTATAAAATTATACGCTTACTGACATTTTTTATGAAAGTTGTTAGGTAATTAATATTTTTTCATGCTAAGTTGTCTACAGACTTTTTTGTTCGCATGATCTTGACAAAAACACATATTGACTTTCACATGTTGACAGGAGGCGCGTACTTTTCCATGGCATTTTATTCCGCCTATATTCTGTTAGACGTCGGCATTTGATCTGCTTCCGATTCGTATTTCATTGGTTAAGCTTGCTTGTTATTTTTTTTCTTATTATTTCATCGAAGAAAATGATCAAGATGATGAACGATATCAGTCCTCAACCTACTACAAATCGTGAACAGTGCAAAGCACGGATTCATGAGACCTGTTCAACAGAGCCAGCGCTCACAAGTATTTCTGTTGGAGAAATAAGGAATTTTGGCGAGCGCTCGCGAACGTTCGTGCTGTTGAACAGGCCTCTGGAAACATCCTAAGTGGCTGGGATCAGGTACCTAGGAATACCAAGTATTCCTTGGGGAAACGTGAACCTTATGTATTGATCAGGTAAACAGAATGTTTAAATTTTATGCCTAATTATCTTTTAATTTTCATTTTTGAAAAACACTATTAATTTATCATCTTTGAAGAACCCAATTGAGACATTATCAGGTCCAGTCCAAAGATTATTTCTACGAAGGTAGCTACTTATAGCTAAGTAGGTATTTTAAGCTACTCAAAGTAGCAATTTTGTTTTGCTTTATTTACCTTTTGTGGCCTAACGTAGGAACAGAGCAATATGGCACCAAATTTCTTGATACAGCCATACCATTGATGAACATAACAAAACTATGGCTAAAAACTGATTACTTTGTAAATTGATTATATTCAAAAATTTTATTTGACAAAGTTATCAATGTTTGGCCTAAATTTTGTCATATCCATCATCAGTATGACTTTCACTATTAAGTCTGAAATGTACTGACATTCCCATTTCTTAATGACGAACTTAGACAATTACTGACAATGTGCTGTCTTTACTGTAAACTAAGTCGATTACTGATTTTTTTCACTCCCGGTGCTGATTACTGTATAGCAGGTTAAAATCGCGGTCGGAAAAGATCGCGATTTGTTCAATTTTCAGCAAATCGCAGTCGTTTGAATTCGCGGAAAAGGAAAAACAATAAATTTCTTAAACAGTACTTGCAAGCATTTATCTGTAGGTATATATTGTGTGAAGTGTTATTTCCCGTCTCTATAGAATATTACGAAAGTCTGTAACGTATATGAGCTGTATAACGCGCATATCAGACAGAAAAGTAAAGTCTATATATTGTGTAGATTTTGATCCCGATTGAATAATAATGAAACACCGAACTGATGCCGATTTGAAGTCAAAATAATGCTACGCATTTAATTTTTGTTTATTTCCGGGTCCAAATCAGAAAAAAAAATATACCGTAGTAAAAATGTTTAACTTTTAATCATATAATTGAAATTAATTATTTGTCGTTACCCTGTTTACTAAATAAATGCCTTGATTAAAGGTAATGACTGAGTTATACGCACGGGTGAAATTAAACAATCATGTTTTATTAAATAATTACATCGCACTTCTACTAGATGGCAAAATTAATCGTACGCTATAGAAATGAATTAAACAATTAATAAGCTTTTAAAACAGCAACAACTACGTGTTTGTAATTGATCCAGACACTCGCATAATTATAAAGACAGTCTACATCTAATCACAGAAAATAATAAAATTTCAATTTATCTTTATAAAACTTTTAAAGAATTATTCACTGTATGTTGAATTCGCGGAATTTCTTTTTCCGCGAATATAGCGAAAATTAACTCCGCGAGTTAATTTCCTGCTGTACAGTAACTTAGAAAAATGCTGACAATATTAGTCGGTGCTGATAAACTTAGACAATTACTGACCAGTGGAATGGAAAATACCATCGTTAATTGATAATACGTTGCAGATATATCTAAATGTCGAGTGTAAGGCCATAGCAAGTGTTTCCTTCTTTTCACGCAAAAGATTTTGCATAACTTCTGCTTCATATGTATACAAAAATAGGTCTGCTAATTGGTACCCATGGGAATTCCAATAGATTGTTGGAAGATCTGGTCTCCAAAAACCACATACGAGGGTCATTCAAAAAATACGTTGACAATGCTTGTCATCGTCATATAATTATTACAACGTTATAGATCAACACATTTTCGTAAACATTAACATTTATTTTGTCTAAGTGTGAAGTTTCATTCCATTTGATTAAATAGAGCTCATATTATGCAAAATCTAAACCAACATGTTTTGTTACCACGGAGCACGGTTAACCGACATTGTAACGTCAAAGACAACGTTTGAAAGTTTGTCAAAATCATACTAATTTTCTTAATTTCAAACACGGTCTGTAACGTCTTTTCCATTCAAAAAAGTAGCTCAGTCGGTAGAGCGCTCGCTCCGTGATCGGGAGGTCGTGAGTTCGTATCTCGGCCGCGACTGACCCAGTCGATAAAATGGGTAACAACTGTTCCTTCGCCATGCGCTCGGCACTTTGAAGTGAAAGTTGCGGGTCCTTCGGATGAGACCTTAAAAACCGAGGCCCCGTGTCAGCGGCAGTCGTTGGCACGATAAAGATCCCTCACTGCTCAATGGCCCTGAGTGCCGAGTAAAGGTCAAAATTTGAAGCCCTTCACCGGCATACGGTGACGTCTCCATATGAGTGAAAAATTCTCGAGAGGGACGTTAAACAATATACAATCATTCAATCAATCCATTAAAAAAAAAAAACATATATATCCATAACACTTAACACCTAGTTTGCGAATAATTGTACAAATATAGCTTGAATAAGAATGTCATTGTTTTCAAATTCTTTAATTTACCATGTAACTATTAATTCTGCAACAATGAAGCACACATCATGTTTTAATGATGTTCCTAATTCTTTCGACAATATCTTTAACTTTAACCTGTTTCTCTGCAGACAATCCATCGTCCGATTCAAACTCGCTACCACTCAAAAATTATATTTTCCATTTAATACAAATACACAGATTATTTTTCATACAGATCCTGGTTTATACGGTTTTTTAAGCTTATGTAGAAGAAGTTTCCCGAATGTAAATTACAATTTTATTGCTACTTGCTGCTCCGTGACGTCCTCCAACGTCATGGTTTTTTGCTCTTTTTAATCAAGTCCACATGTATTTAGAAACTGATTTCTTTTAAATGGAACGACATATTAAATAACCTGATTTCATTTTAACTAATACAGCAATACTTTATTTAAACATGTAAATTTTATTTCGTTTCAGCTCCATTTATTAGAGGTATGGCTGTAAATACTCCGTGACCCCATTTTTGCTGTTCTAAATCCTTGGTAATTTTAATAAATATGAAGATACATTCCAATTTTTTGAATCTGTTGTTAAAATATTTGTGCCAAATTTGGATATAATATGAGGTTAAATAAAAACGTTAGGACAAAAGTCTACGAACTTTTTGAATGACCCTCGTAGATATTGTCAATCAGAATCAAATCAACTGCAGCGGGAGACATAAACCCCGTACGCAATTGCTAAGGGTATACTGCTATGGAAGTAAGGAAAGTTGACGAGAGAAAAGTTGAAGTCATCACTTCCTTTTTTGAAAATAATGTTAGGTTATTATTGCTGCCTTTTTGTAAGATTTTTTTAAAATGGGACAGAGATACAAATTAGAACCTCCCAGTAACAAAGCGAGCGAACAACCCTTACAAAAATACTATAGTTAATTAAATATATATAGTTTACTATTATAGTTAACCGTAGTTTACTACAGTGAACACTTTGTCACTTTGATTTACTATAGGGATAACTTTGATACTTTGATTTACTATTGTGATAACTATGGAAACTTTGATTTAGTGTGGAAAACTTTGAGTTAATATGGTGAACACTTTGAAAACTTCGATTTGCTATAGAGAACACTTTGACACTCTAGTGAAAACTTTAATTGATTGATTGTATATTGTTTAACGTCCCTCTCGAGAAATTTTCACTCATATGGAAACGCCACCACTTGCCGGTGGAGAACTGCCAGTTTTGTCCTATACTCGGCACTCAGGGCCATTGAGCAGGGAAAGGTCTTTTTCGTGCCAGCACCACCTGCGACACGGGACCTCGGATTATACGGTCTCATCAGAAGGACTGGTCTCCATGTCCCACAGTGGGATTCGAAACGCGACGTAAGAATTGACTCTTATTTCGCGACTCTAGAGCAGACGCTCAAACCACTGCGCCACACGGGCGATGTGAAAACTTTGAAAACTTTGATTTACTGTAGTGATAACTTTGACACTTTGATTTACAATAGTTAACTAAAGTTAACTACAGTAAACTATAGTAGATCTATAGTAGAGTACAAATTCTAAGAGTAAACCTATATTAATTCCTTGCAAAAGTTAATGTTTCGACAAAACACACTTAAATCACAAAAAGTAATTTGTTAAATTTAAAATATTTAATTTGAAGCAAACAAATATCAGTATATAAATAATAGTATGAAAATAAAATAACAAACATATACTTTTCTATAAGATATGAATAAGACAACAGTAGAATGGCTTTCAATTCAATGTTTAGAATCTGCAATAAAATGTAATTCAATTTATAAAGAAAAGTTGAGGGAACAAATAAGCTATATGAGTCCATTGTATTATATACGTTGTATAGTTTCACGTCTAAAAAAGATATAAACCCACACTTTATTGTTATATACGTTCAATGATTCAATTTCAAATTGCTGGTATTATCAAGTTGTTACAGATTCACGTTGATTTATCAATTTGGGCGAGACTTCAGGAGCATCATACTGTTCCAAAAACAACTAATGGACGAATTAGAACAGCTTTTCATGAGAATTATTTTCATCGTTAGTCCTACAATAGAGAAAATTAGGTACATATTATTTCAAGAGTACAAGACTGCACAGCAGTAATATTTTTCATAAAAAAATTTTGGATTCAGTTAATTTGCTTCATTTTATTGAAATTTCCTCAGGTTCAAAAGAAAATAAAAGTATACAAATTTTCTTTTCTGACTTTTATATTTCCTTAAATAGGTACTCAGGAACAAACCTTCAGATTGCTAGCCTTTTCAATTTTTTCCAGAAATCTCCTAAATCGACCTGAGCGTTTTCCAAAACAGCCCCCTTGGTTACAGAAGAGTCGCTTCCGGAAGCTTGGTTGTTCTTCCGGTTCATCGATGGGGTAGTTTAAAGGAGCAATGTCCATAGACCCTGATTGGGACCTCTTGCGACCATTAGAGCAACCGAAGAAGCCGTTACAGAACACCCTCTTTTCTCGGTCCTCCGGTGGGGGATTGTTCTCTTTCATCAGTTCCTCAGCCAGTAACGCCGCCAGTTTATTAACATTTTGTTTTGTATTGTCATACTAGAGAAAAAAAGGAATGATATAGATATAGCGACTTTATTTGCAAGACATAATTAATGTAAATCTCAAATGTCAACATAGCTGAATTAACCTACAACATTCAGTCAACTGAATAAATGGTCACTGAAATGGTCTGGAATGTTCATTTGGTTGACAGGGGTTCACTGACCTATAAGGAGACTTTCAGTCAAATTTCAGTAAAATAAATGGCAGAGTTTCGAATTATTTGAAAAAGATACACAGGAATTTAATCAATCCCTCTTTTAATTGAAGCCTACCTAGTGGTCACAAGTAAGTCATCAGCGGCCATGTATGATTATGATTTATTGTAGCATGCATCATGATTTATTGTAGCATGCATAGCAACATTTTTATGATTAATTGAAGTAGCATGTAAGAGAAACTTAGTACATGTACCCACACTATCTTTCTTTGTCTATTATGATTTGTAGAATATCATCCATAAAAATAGTTTCCCTTATAAAATATATATTTAAAATATATAGAAGGGACTGTAAAATAGAAATCATTGAAATGAATTTCCTAATGTCCATCGTGTTCATTCAAGAATAATATGAATCAAATATAACTTTTCTTTCTACTAGAAATAATTAATGTAGTGCAAGGTGTTGGCTAAAAGGTAATAAAATAACAAAATAGACTTTGATTACAATTCCAAGTCGGTTGATTCGTATGTATTTAAACTCCTAAAGCATCAATTATTTACAAACGTCAAGAAGAATTTGTAAGACGGGGGCAATAATTGCTGATCTTTTGTTTTGCAATGTGGAAAAGCTATGAAATAAAATATCAGCGCATGACATTATATCACTAGTAAGAAACTAATCTATCTTACACTTCTGCGAAAGCGTCGATCGTAAATATTAATGTGGAGCAAACAATATTAGCACAAAAGTACATCTATAAAAACTGAATTTTCCTGATTCTTTTGTGTCATAACCGGCATAGAGAAAAAAGACATATGCCATAAAAGTATGGGATTCGATGGAATTATTGAGAAAAAATAAAGATGTAAAACAACATTAAATGACTTTTTGTCTCTGAGCTTATTTCGAATTTCAGTTTTGGTCAACTTATCCTTGACGTTGGATTATAACTCAATGATATTATTAGACTAGCTACTAAAAATACCAAAAGAACGTGATTTAAAGCTTAATTCTATGTAGGTATATATTTGGATATTTTATTAAATTATTAGAGTTGTCAAATGCATTCGAAAATGACTTTTTCAAAAGATATTGCAATGAAATATATAACATGATTTCAATCTTTTTCTTATCCATTTTCAGGAGTTTTGTTATTTTCTTTGCCCCTTTCTTGTTTTGTTGTTTTTCATTAGTCCAAGGTCTGATATAGAACATGAAAAATGTAACCAAAAACTCAACTTCTTGATCGTGGGTTAAGCATATTAAATATATTTTACAATCTTTGTATTCAAATGGTATAAACATTATTTTGCTTCGAAAAACAGCATACTAAAGCATTGAAACTTCTCTGTTAAGGAACATAAGGTTTAATAAGATGGAGATTTTTCCTTTGTTAAGTGTCGAAACTGGCGTAAAATAGAACCTTCAGAGAAATAAGGTAAGAAATCATTTTCAGACACTGGGAAATAAAAACTGGCTGGGCAAATTTTCAAGGCTCATGAAGCCTCAAGAGTTTCTTATATCTTATGTTCACATCCGTTACTTATTTTCAACAAAACAGTCATGGACTATAGCTTTTCACTTAAGAGATGATATTTTTTTTCTTAAAACCTGAACGGTATACATTGAATACATTGAATGTTGAGCACTTGATAACATATGATGTTACATTGTAGTTAAGTTGATCTTTTATATCTCGCATTGAATCTAAGGTCATGTGAAGAACCTTCTTACATGTATATAGAGATTTAATTAATATCATTTGTCAAGTAATTTTATATAGAAGCAAACATTTGTTATTGTAAATGAAAGTATTTTAATTATAAATATCTTGAAACGATTTTAATTATAATTACATTGAAACTATTTGTTACACATACATGTAAAATGCACAAAAAGCATTGTCTTAGACATCTCTTTACATTATTTTTAAACCGTCTGCGAGAATGAGATAAATTTATTTTAGTTGGCTTTTTTCTATAATTCTTTACGGTGATTTTATTGTATTGACGTAAATGATTAATCTGTAGTTACATAATTTTTTTAATAATATAAAAAAACAAAAATTTTGAATATAATGGGATGCTTAATAAAAATATGCTTTTTTAAATGTTATTAATAAGTGTAACATTGTCAGTTTTCGTGTCCATAAAAATAAAACTTGCTGAAGTATCTGACCACAAAAAATAAATGTCGTGTCAATAAAAACAAAATTTCGTCTTATACCTGACAAAAGAATACATTTCATGTTAATTAACATGATAAAATCAAAAAAGAAAACGTGCAGCAGTAACTGACAAAGGAATAAGTTTCAGTGTATTTAACTCATGAAATTATATGTTCTCGCGTTTTGAAGAAGTGTTTGTCTTTTATGGGAAAGCCAATATAAATCATATATATATTCCTAGTTACCTGTTCATTAATATTTTAAGCATATTAGAACGGAGCTATTTAAATTACCTGAAAATGAAAGAGGCGCTCTTATCGGTATTAATAATTCAGACTGTAGTTTCAGTTAACAAGTGATTGCAATCGCAGAAATGAGCGGTAAAGTGTAACACACGGTGAGAGACCGTCTGAATCGACAAATAGTACGCCATCGGATTCGTACAGCCCCCTCACTAATTCGTCAGCCATGAAATTAAAGTGCCTTTTATGTATTATGCATTTAGTAAGTCTGTCTGAAAAATTTTAAAATATTTCAAAATTTCCACACCGGAAAAAATAGTTCCATAGTACAATTTTAGTTTTTAGAGATGTCAAAGAACAGGAAATCTCAAGTCCTAAAAACAGGATAATAACACTGTTAACATTGTATTTTATGCCTTTTATGTTATCGCGCACTGAGCAAACTCTGTCTGGAAAATTTCAAAAATATTTTCAAAACTTGCCAACCGGAAAAAAATAGTTCCACCGAATAATTTATCTCTTCTCAGTTGTGTCAAACAAACAGGAAATCCTAAGCTCCAAATCTAGGATAAAGAGACTGTTAACACAGCTTACTTAGAGTAACAGGACAAGTTTCAGTTGATCAATATACATTATGATTTTAAAACCTCGATCCTTTCATTATATGTAAGCCATGTTAATAGTGGTGTTGTCCTTATTTACTTGTATTCAAGAAGATTTCTACATGAAAGCCCCTTTTTTAGTTTCACTGAATTTGTGTATTTAATTTTTTTTTCTTTAAGGGTCTCTATTTGATACACGTGAATAGATCTAAGTATTTCGAACTCTACAAAACTCAACGCTCTTTAAATGACTTGATTTCATCAACCCCCCTCCCCCCCCCCCCCCAAAAAAAAAGTCAGTGCTTATATTTATTTATTTTTTTTGCATTGCAGTTCAGAAGATATTTAAAAGTGGTAGAGTTTCCCCCGTAATATACATATATATATTATCCATACCAGCTCTGCAAGAAATTATAGAAAGGTTACGATACATTTATTTTTACAAGCAAAACAACTGCAAGACGTAGGCTTTATTGCTTCAGCATACTTTATTATGGAACAGAGGAAATAAGTATTGTCCTTAAACTTTGGCTCATCTGAGAATACACCCAGTATAGTTATTAATTGATCGCTAGCGTGGCGCAGTGAATAGAGGGTTCGCTCCAGGACTGAGGAGTACTGAGTTGTTTCTTACGTCTCAGGCTCAGATCGTATTGAGATACATGTACGTGGAAATCGGTATTTTGGATGAAACTGTAACTCCGCAATAGGTGCGTGTACAAAAACGACCATTCTCTGCTCAAAGGCCACAAGTGCCGAGCGAAAACAGGTCTAAATTTGCAGCCCTTCGCCAGCAAGGGGGGGGGGGGCAACTCGATATGAATAAGACGACGGGAGGTAAACATACATGCAGACATATTGAAAATTGCTGGTACATTAAAATCAAACGCTTTTAACAAATATTCATAAATTAAAATTTCTTATATTGTATTAACTATCTTTCAACTAAAGAATATTTCGTATTTTTCAATATACTTAGAATGTTGCAAGATGCATATTTGAATACATATAAAACAATAACGAGAAAATGCGATACTTCAGTCTTTTAGACAAATGAGATTGCATTTCCTTTAATTAATTCATTTTTAGATGTATTTTTTCAAAATATACATAAAATAAGTTTGTCACTTTATTGCGACTCAATGTCTATTTCTTTGCCGTAACTTCTAAATTATTATCAGCCACCTGAGTGCTAGGCCTAACTAAATTATTACGTTATATTGAGTCCGCCAATCTTTACAATCGTTAAAATCTTTATTATCCCGAGAACTTATTTAATTATTCAATATCTTGTCTCAGTGATATTAGATTTCTGATATAGAAGGTCCACTTTAACTTTATTTTATAATACAGTCTGAAATGATGATATGAGCTTCCTCACGTAAACCATGGATCATTAACAAGATAGCATTATTTTCTGCAAGCAAAGACGTGTAAAACAGAATATTCTTGACAATGTTTTTTTTTTCCAATATCCATAACAATCATTTAAAGGAACTAGCATAATTGCATCTACATGTATTTTGCTTCATACTTTTTTTTTTAAAGAGTGCATACATGAACTTTATTTTTGTAACAATTATTGAAATGGTAAAAAAACGCAATTTGTTATATAATTAAAAAAATTCCTTTTATGTGTAATATTACTATTGATATTTATTAGACTTAATAAATCATCAGTACTTAATTTTTTTTTAAAAATAGAAAATTAAAAAAAAAAAGAAAAAAATGAAGTCAAAGGAATATTTAATAAAAACAAAAAAACCAAAATGTTTCGCTTTGTAAAAATTACCTTTTGTAAATATTCATTTCCATCTGTGAGATCAGAACAGTGACAAAACGATAAGATGGTAAAGATTCCGAGGCAGGCAACAAGGAATGCTGACTGTTGGTAAGACATCGTGCTGCACATATTGCTAGGAAATCGTCTGTGCCTTAACTATTGACACCCAGCGGAATCTAGTCCGTTAGCCCTATACCGCTCTTAAGAAGAAACCCTTTATTATATCAGAAATTACGCAAGAGGGCTATCCAAAATTCATGAGGGGTTACGGTTGAACAGCTGGCTAGCCGAAGCTCACAGTTTCTCTATTAAACTTCAGTGCTCGCTCTTTCTCTTAATGCACTCTGGTATTAAATTATAGGTTGCTAATTGGAAAGATGACGACAGCCAATGGCCAAATGTCACCTGTAGATGGCGCTGTTATAAAATCAAAGATTCTAGGAAAACAGCATGTATTTAACATATACTATCGAATAATCGTGCATATCAAGTTTTCTCTCTTTTAAATTTCTTTTTCGAAGAAAAATCAAATATGTTTTATTAATGATTATGTTTTAGCAAATGATAATATTCTTTTTTTGGTTTTTAACCTACACTTTATGAGTATTAAAGACTTGAAATAATAATGCATGTATAACAAACATTTAACCTGAATGTAAATAAACGTAAAGAAATAAAATGAAAAAATCTTGCAAAGACACCCTTTTCTTCTATTAACTTCATAATTATTACAGTCGCATTGGTAATAAGTCATAAGTCATGTTTAAAACGACTCTTTTTTCTTGGGAACAAGATTCATATAAACGTCAGGTTATGATGTTTTTTAACATCATCAAAATGGGAGAAAAGTATGGACATATAATCTAACATGGTTCAATTCCATGACAAGATCTCGAATTGTTATTTGTCATGCATATTCTTTACATACTCAAGTTGTTAAGCATCAATAAAGGAATTTATTTCTCTAGTTATATAAATCTGTAGGCACCTTTCGTTTACTAGATCTTGACCTTAAGGTAACAGTCCAAAGATAAACATAAAAAGGACAGAGAGAAACAAAACTACAATTTCAGAAAACTAGGATTTCAGTTTGTATAATGTCATACTTGATAGCAATTTAAAAAATCACTATAAAAATTCATAGTAAAAACTCATTTAAAATAATCTGAACAGTGTCTTTAAAAGCGAATACATGTGCAATTTATCTTTAGTTATTAAACATTAAAGGTGGCGTTATGTAGCTGTATTAAAAAGAAACAAAAACAAACATCCAAGCAACCAAACAAAAAAAAATCAAAACAAATGCCCACAACCACCACCACATATATCTAATAAATACACTGTATCTTTTAATAGAAATACTAAGTATTTGTTCGTGGTAATAGAGTTTTTGTTGTTGATTCAGTTGCTGATGTTTTTTGTTCTTTGCGTGTACCTTTGTTTTTGTTTGTTTGCATTTTTTGCATAAATGTAACTATACACATTAAGTTTAACAAAGCAGTGTAGTATACTATAGAGGTCATTCTATCTATATATAGTACAACAACATAATCATAACCCAATCCTCTTTTAATATACTTATATAGGTTTATCAGTTCTCGTTTAGCCAAGCTCTGCTTTGTTTTCTCTCCTTAATTTATTTTTCCTAAAATATAAAATCAAGCCAAACGCATTGAGATGAAACGTGCTGATTTCAATAAACTTAAGTATAAAATTTAATGATTCCATAAATACACTCTCTATTGAAATCGCCCACTGGCATCATTACTGAGACGGACCACGGCGAGGGCGCCGATCTTCTATAGAAAATGGGGGACGGAGAAATAGTTTTATTATATTCTATTTTTCGTTTGAAAAGGATGATTTTTTCTAAGTGAAATTATGTAGGAGAATGTCGTATTTAACTTTTTATTTATTTATCTACATTTATAGGCTGAAAATTGTTGTATGGGAGGAACAGTTAATCTAGAGCCGTATGGCTATTTTCTTTTACAATTAATCTAGAGCCGTATGGCTATTTTCTTTTATTCTTGCATACTGAAAAAAAGGTAATTGAAGCCTTTCTTCCACTTAAAGCATGGTGTCCCATGGCATAATTCTTTTGAATTGAAGAACAGTAGAGTTTTTAATGTAAAACAGATCATAAGTAGCACCTTGACGAAGCTTCCAATTTCGTATGACCTATGGTTATATGTCATAATGAGCTTATCGTAGATACTGTTAGAGCATAAAATTACAATTGATTGATTGTTGTTTAACGTCCCTTTCAAAAATTTTTCACTCATATGGAAACGCCAGCACTTGCCTGCAGAGAGCTACAAATTTTGTCCTATACTTGGCACTCCGAGTCATTGAGCAATGATTTTTTTTTGTGCCAGCAACTCCTGCGACACGGGACCTCAATTTATACTGTCTAATCCGAAGGACAGGTCTCCACGTCCCACAGTGGGATCATAAAAATACGAAGAAAATCAACAGAAATCTGACACTGCTTCAGTAAAGATATGAATGAGAACTGGACCAAAGCTCGGAACAGTAGAAATGTTAAACATTAAAAAACAAATCAGGTCCTCAAGGGAAGTAAATTTTTCCTGTAACACATCAGCATTGAGCCATCTATACTGGCCAGGAAAATGAAGTAATTTAATTCTTTGAAAGGTCTTTTAATAATTAAATTCAAAGTAAAAAAAAACGCAGTATAACAACGTCAAAAATATATATTAACCGACCAGCAGCCTATCATTGAAAATACCAAAAGCCCATACGTGTTTTGTTGATTCTACAAATTGTGTTTTAATTATTATATTATATTATTCTGTTAATTTCAACATTTGTTAAATAATCTTAATCTTAGCATTTTTCTATATTAATTATGCTAATAATTCTGATACAATTGTTCTTTTTTTCGACTGACTTGAGCACTAGCAAATAAAAGAGCGCAGTTTCTTTTGCACGGTTATAACACTTGGGAAAAAAAATGAATTTAATCGGTTGGCAGGGGATGCTCATTCCTCCATTGCACCTGATCCCACGTCTGATGGTTTGGGGGTCCGTGTTTGTTCTGCTCCTATTTTGTATTGTTTCATTGACTTTTGATCTTGAGTACTGTTCGTTATCTCCGTGTGTTTCATTTAGTCAGATACCTTATTCTCGTGGTTGACTTTTTTGGTAAATATTGAGCCATTTATTTTAAATCAAGTCCATGAATTTTTAAAATTTTCTACCCCAATGGTTGATAGTGCACGCTTCATTTAATCATTTGTCTGAAAAATACAAGACCCAGGTTTTCCAATCAGTAGAATGTAAGGAACTAATTTTTCGCCAGGAAACGTATCATTTTTCCCGTTATAATTATTCTCTTTATAATAAAAAATAAATGTATATTAACACAAACCCCAACCATTGTCATGGGATGGAAACAATTTTAACAGTTGATGAATGACTACTTGGAATTGAATTTTCGTAAAATAAGGACACTGTCAAAATTGTACTTAAAAGAACATGTGATTCATGTTTCCGTAACAATAGTTAAAAATTCATAAGAGCAATATAATTTCTTGTCAATTGATTTTATTTGTACTATCTCTTTCTCTTTCTCTCTCTCTCAATTTAACAAATTTGTATATCAAATAAAAAATATGTGTAACAAATTACAGCTTAAAGGTGCCTGGGCATAGATTTGAAGTTTTTTTTTCAAATTTTCGGTATAATATCATGACAAATATAACTAGTGCTAATTGTAACGGGAAACGTTACAGATGTTCCCCAAACGCTCCCCAACTCCCTTTCGGTGCCATGTTCCCTGTAAGCTTCATTAAATAAGACAAACTCTGTGCATTTTTGACTTTTACATCGCTTTCCCAGAAGGATACCAATTATATTCAATTTTTAGCATTGCACCCAAGCGCATGTGAATGCATGTGCGTTATGATCATATCATATTGTCTACACTATTAATATTTTAATATACTATATATTAAAGCATTCAGTCCAAAAGTAATAAAAATCACTCATTCAAGAGTATTTTTAAATATACTCGTTTCAAATGCACGCACGTGTGTGCACGTGCATGATGATCATACCTTCTTGTAGGAGTCCCTTACATCTATCTATGTTCTAAATCCCATCCTGTTTGGTTGAAAAACAAGGGAGTTATAGCCATTTAAAGTTTCAGCTAATCAGATTGCAGCACACGTGCATGCGCGTAATTTAATGATTTTTTTTCTATCATTTTGTAGGATATCCTAATGCCTGACTATATTTTAAATTTGAATTCAAAAAATTTCGTAAAAAAAACAAAGGAGAAATAGCAATTCAAAGTTTCAGCCAATCATATTGCAGCACACGTGCATGCGCGTGATTTCATGATTTTTTTTCTATATCATTTCGTAGGATATCCTAATGCATGACTATATTTTAAATTTCAAAGAATTTCGTCAAAAAACAAAGGAGAAATAGCCATTTAAAGTTTCAGCCAATCAGATTGCAGCACACGTGCATGCGCGTGATTTCATGATTTTTTTTATATATCATTTTGTAGGATATCCTAATGCATGACTTTATTTTAAATTTCAAAGAATTTCGTCAAAAAACAAAGGAGATATTGCCATTTAAAGTTTCAGCCAATCAGCTTGCAGCACGCGCACATGCGCATGCTTTCATGAAAATTCTTATATATCATGCGGTAGATCTTCATAATGTAGGACTATGTTCAAAATTTCAAAGGATTATGACAAGAAACAAGAAAGTTATTGAGACTTTAGTTTCAGCCAATCAGAGCGAAGCGCACGTGCATGCGCGTGAGATCTTGCTATTTTGACCATGCTTTCTTGTTTATACTACTAATGTATCCTTACATTATGAGTTTCAAAAAATTTCATCAAAAAATAGAAAAAGTTACGGCAATATCCATTATATTGGTAATTTCACCTATTGCACGTGCGCGCTCTTGCAAGCACGTGCGCGCAAAATGACCTTTGTTTGGCAACTCTACATAACATGCCTACTAACCCTAAAAAGGTTTCACCTAAGTCGGATGTGTAGTTTACAAGATCACTCGTGGACAAAATTTTCCCAGGAAGAAGAAAAATAATAATAATAATAATAATAATAATAAGAAACAGAGTAAAAACAATATGTTCCCCAACTTCGTTTGGGGAACATAATTACCAAGAATCTAACCTAACAAGTTTTTGAAACCGAAAGCTTTAAAGATTTCAAAAAAATGGAATGAGTCTTGTCTTTATTTCTGTTTTTTTTAATTAACCCTGTTTTTGCATTCTGTATCTTTTTAAATGCATTTTGTAATTGAAGTTCTATAG